GCGGGGAGCGCAGGGCCGGGCTCAGGCTCGGGCCCGGCCGTCGGTGGGCTTGGAGCCCCGGCCGGCTCCGCCGCGCTCTGGGCCGCTGCACGGAAGAAGGCGCCCGCGGAGCGCGGTCCGCTCGCCCGCCCCTGGGCCGCAACTTAAATATCCGACCAGCAGTGGAGGCGGGGTCATGTAAATTGAGCTCTTAAAGCGCCAGGCTCCCGGTGGGCGGGGCCGCGCTCCTGCTCTGCAGGGAGGTAGGAGTCGTCACCCCAGTACCTTGGCCCAAGGAGCAATCTGGACAGACCAGTTTCCCTGAGGCCCGTCCAGGATGTTGGGGCCTGGGGGTCAGGCTTTCTGGGTGCCCTCTGTGTCCCTGCCCAGGTGTGCCAGAGCGTGGTCAGTTGGGGGCCACCTTGGCTCGCCAGCCCCCCCAGCTGCCCCACCCCAGCCCTGAGCCCAGAGACACCCAGCTTCAGCAGCAGGTCCTCCCCCCTCTCCACCCTTCCCCCTCCGCTGCTCTGGCCTGGGGGATGTCAGGCCGTTAAAGTGTGTCCTCCCTTCTGGCCACAAAGACATAGGCCATCATTAGAGACACCCAGGAGGTTTCCTGATGGGCAGGCCACTGGGGAGAGTGGCCCCTCATGGGGGGGGGGTTTGGCCGTAAGGTTGTGGGCAGGAGGATAGATGGCAGCAGGGCCCTGAAAGAAGGTGCCCAAATTCGGATTCTGTGTCCCTGTCCCAGCCCTTCTCCCGACCTTTTGGTCCCCTCACCAGGCATCGCTCTGAGTGTCTGTCCCGCCTTGAGGGGCCCGCGGTGGTTCACTTCTGTGTCCCCCGGTTGAATGCATGGCCTGTACTCCCGGGGCCTCAGCCCCCATCCTCTCTGCTTCTGGAATCCTAGTAGCAGACCTGTTCTGGCCCCCCAAAGAGAGGAGTGTACCCCTCAAAGACAAGCAGACACACAGGCAGAAAAGGCCAAGGCCGACAGCAGAGTGTGGTAGCAGCAGTCGCCTGGTCTTCTGGGAGGTTTTCGTTCGTGTTTTTCTGCATTTTCTAAAATGTCTTCAGTGAGCGCGTGCTGTTCTGCAATCAGAGCAAGTAACACACCGTCTTGAGAAGAAACAGCATGTGAGCGAGTGTGTGACTGGAAGTCGCAGGCTCACACAGACGCTGTGCTTGGCATTTTCACCCCCATGGATTCTCGGCTTGGTGGGCTTGGTGTCGGGCCAGCCAGGCACCCAGGCACAACATTTAAGGAGGTCCTTGCTCCCGGGTTCCACCGCGCCCTGGCACGCCCTGAGAGCGAGCACCTCCTTAAATCTTACACCCTGGGAGCCTCACTTGCCTTTGGTACAAAGGGCCTGCTTTGCAGAGGGGCAAACCAAGGTTGTGGAGGTGAAGGACCCTGCCCCATGTCACAGCCCCGGGGCCTGGCCTCTTGACTTTGAGACTCCCAGGACCACAGGACAGCTGTGGTTCCAAGAAATGAACTATGAGAAAGGCCGTGGCTTCCAGGCTTCTTTGGGAGGAAAATAAGAGATGAAACTAATCTTAGATGACAGAGCCCGACTTCACCCGGGTTCTTGGCGGGAGCCTGGGGGGACTTACACACACTCCATACACTCCCACATGCACACTCACTCACACACACTCAAAATGTACTCAGTCACACGGACATTCACACGTGCGAACTCACTGACTTACACGCACTCCGCATGAGCGCACATCACCACATGCTCCCTCACTCCCACGCTCACGCATGCACACTCACACTCACTTGCATGCGTTTCCCCATTCCCACACTCACAGATACACACTCGTGTACACTCACACTTACACACAGACTCACATGCACACTCCCACATGCACACTCACATTCCCACACGCTCCCACATGCACACTTACCTCCCACATACACATCTACACACACGCACTCACACACATATTCACACGTGCTCACACTCACCCCCCACACATGCACAGACACACTCACTCACACACACCCTGACCCTGCTCCCCACCCTCCCCACTGGGGCACTTCTGGCCTGGCCCCCATCCCCATGCCCACCCTCGCCCCCACCCTCACTCCTCACCCTCCCCACTGGCACGCTCCTGCTCTGCCCTCAGAGCCCCACACAGGCCGCCTCTTCCATGCAGGCTGCCCTTCTGTGGCACTGCCCACCTCTGCAGACCCCTCCTGAGCATACCCCTCAGGGGACCCTAGTCAAGGCCTTGTCTGGACTGGTTTTGGGGGCTGCCTTGCAGCCTTTAGTGGGCAGTCACCCCAGAGCCAGCACTCCACTGGGCTCACAGTGGTACTCAATACAAGCACTGAGTGAAGGACTGTTTCTCCAGGCGCTGTGGGAGTAGGTGGACGAGACCAGGGTCCCAACCTGGCCGTGCAGTGGAACTGCCAGGCAGCTTTGCAGACACCTAGGCCAGGCCCCACCCCAGGGATCCCAGGCTCCTGTCTGGGTGGGCCAGCGGCAGCTCAGACCCTCTGGCCTTGGCCCCCAGCAAGGTCATGACCTTGGACCCATGCCTTGCTGACCCCCACGGCCTTTGCCCTGTAGTTGGTTTTCAGCTGGGCCCGGGAGACTGGGGGTTAACACAGGCCCCAGCTCTGGGCATTACATTTCATTAAAAAAAAAAAAAAAAAAAAAAACTCCAGGCAAAAAAGGAGAAAAAACATTTTTTTTTTCAGGTGCTAAAAATATTATCAGGAAATACTTTTCAGCACTGTGCTGTTCAGGTTCCCCTCCGGAGTCAAGGGCGCCTTTGTCTCTGCCGCAGAACATCCACATTTATCAAAACCCAAATCGCTTTATCAAGGAGCCTCCTGCTCTGGGCAGAAACCTGAGCCTCTCTCCAGGCCTGTGACATTTTAATTTAGGTCTGGGGGCCCTGGGGGCAACCTCAGGACGCCTAAGGGGGGGCAGCCTCCCCGCCCCATGCACCTGGCTGCTGGTCTGGTCTGTGGTCCCAGCAGGATGGCCCGGGCTCAGGCCCAGGGCTGCTAGTGGCAGGGGTGGGCTGGCTGTATCCCCTCCACCGCCCCAGCTTCTCTCTAGTCCTCTCCAACCCAGAGGTGGCTGGTGGAGCACAGGCCCCTCCGAAGCGCGGTCCCACCCCAGGTAGACAGCCCAGAAGTGCCGGCCCCGGTAAAGGTAAACCTCCACTCCCCCCTGGATGGAGACCTGGGAGGGCAGGCAGGGCTGGCCAAGGTCACGGCGCAGAGGGAGGGGCAGGGAAGGTTGGAGGCCAGGCTCTCAACACTGCGAGGCTGCTCCAACCCCACCCTCGCCTCTACAATTCCAGCTGCTAGAGAGTCAGGCAGAGAGGGAGGGGCTGGCTCTGTGCAAGGACACCCCCAGGCACCTGGGAGCGGAATGGTGGTGACCTAGAGCCCGCACCTCCAGGCTGCTCGCTGCTGCTTTGTGGAGAGAAGGGGAGGCTGCAAGCACCTTGAGGCAGAGCATGCAGAGTGCCGTGTGGGCCACAGGCGGGTGGGTGGCTCCGGCCTCAGGTACACGGAGCCCTCCTGGCCACCGATGGGCAGCCTCGTCATCCCTCCTCACCTGACCAGGACACGGGTGTCCGTCCTCCAGATGTTCCAGGAGGGCCCGGAAGTAAAGCCTCGTCCGCTCCTGTACAGAAGGACTGGTGGAAGGACAAGTGTGCCTTTACCACGTTAGTGACATGGGGGACGTTCTAAGGTTATAGCGTCAAGTAAAAAAGGACTCTCCCAAGTATCGTGTAGTATACCCTGCCGTCCACCCGCAGTGTATGCTGGAGAGAAGCAGCCCAGCCTTCCCCTGGGGTCACTGCAGGCTTCAGAACTATTGTGCAGTTACTGAAAATGATGCATGTTTCAGAACTGAGCAGGGCACCCCGGTCCCCGCCGGCCTCGTCGGCCTGCCCGGCCCTTCCTGCCGGGGCTGGGTGCTGGTGGGTCCCCTGTACCCCCCACCTGGGTCTGCCTTCCTTCCAGGGAGCCATTTTCCCCAGCACGCTCCCTGGCTGTGGCACACTTTGCCCCCCACCCCGACTAGCCTTGTGCTCCCTGACACAGAAGGGCTTAGGGAGGGTGGGCTTCTGACCCACGTCCAAGGGTCTGCTCAGAGCTCCCTGGTCAGAGGCTGGGTGGCTCCCTCTGACCCCCAATTGCATCCCAAATTCCTCAGCCAGAGTCCCCAGGGCCAGAGATACTTGCAGGGATTTTGCTTCTATCCCAGATAGGCGCTGGGTCCCACGGGCCTCCAGGGCCCTGTGTGCGTGGTGGGAGGTGGTCTGTGGCGCTCAGCAGCCCCCTGGGTAGGGTAGATTGCTGGCAGGGGCTGGATGTAGGTCCATGTAGTCCTGTCCCTCGACTCCCATGCTCCCTGCATACTGGACCGGTCCCCACCCAAGCTCCTTCCTCAGGGGGTTTGCCTTGGCCTCACAGCCTCGGAGGGCGGGCTGGGTGGTTCGAGTGAGGACAGGCGGGTACCCAGCCCCAGCACCTGGGCCTCACCCAGCCCAGCCTACTGGGTACACCTCTGTCCTTGGTTAAAGTGGCCCTGTTCCTGCCTCGGGCAAGCAGACCAGCCTGGGACAGTCCGTGGTCTGTCTGAGGTCCCATCCTTCCTCGCCTGTAAAACGGGCGCCCAAAGGGCTGTTGTGAGAACCAGGCCCAACTCCTCTGAGTCCCTCAGCCTCAGCTGGAATCGAACACACAGAGGCCCACACGCTCGCCAGGGGGATGTTTCAGAAAACGCCTGTTTATTTCCATTACAAAAAAATCTTTTCCTAAGTATACAACTCTGTGTTGAGTGAATCAAAATTGTGTCTCCTAAACTGATTTAGTTACTTGTTAAAATAGAAATCACTCCCAATGTTCCCAGTAAGCACCCGAAATCTCCGGGGAGTTGCGTCTGTTGGATTTTGGGGGCCGCCGTTTGAACACTGAACCACCAGCCGCGCACGTGTTTCCAGCCCCTCCCTGCCTGGGGTGCGAGTCCAGAGGTGTGTGTCACGCTGGGACAAGGAGCTGGCCCTGCAGGGCGCCATGAGGACGGGTGGACGTGGGAGCTTTGGAGGACACACGGGCCTCTCGTGGTGATGACCCCAGACCCCGGGCCGAGTTCTCCCCTGCCCCCATCCCTCCACGGCAAACCGCAGAGGGGCGGGAAGGAGGGGAGGGGGCACGTCTGAGCATGTTCTGGCGCCTACTAACTGCCAGGCCCTGAGTGCCACGCATTTGCTCTCAAGGCACTGCCCTGCGCCAGGTTGCAGAATGCTCAGGGCGGGTCTGCCTGCAGTCCTCTCTGGGCTTGCGTTTGCCCTCCTGGCCACTGCTGGTGGGCGAATACCAGGGTACACACGCCGCCGCTAACTCCCTTCCCGCAGCAGCCAGTGCAGACGGGCCATGGCACTCGCTATTCCTGTCTGAGCCTGGACCAGACTTCAGAATCCTTCTCAACACGGTCACTGACAACCAGGCAAAGTCGGCAGGCAGAATGAAACGGATTCGCCCATCTCTTTCTAGCTGCTGTTTCTGCAATATTTGATACCTGGTAACTCTGTTGCTAGGGCCTGACAGGACAGCCTCCGAGTGTCCTGGAGCACTCTCGAAACAGATGGATTGGGCACAGGTTTGGACATAGGTTTGGGAACAGAATGTTGTTCAGGCTCAGCTGACAGGGACTGTGATTCGGTAGGCTCCCACCCTCACCTCACCCTAGTACCGGAGGGTGTGGCGGGATGGGTGCCGTGTGCCTCTGGGCCCTGGAGTGAGGACACAGCTCGAGGGGCAGCCCGGGCTGTGCACACACCGGAATTCACGGGGTGGCCAACGCCCCACAAATGTCGTAAACGCACTGCCTTCAAAACAGCAGCGGCCATTTGGAGAGAAAAACCGCTCAGTGGGGGAGACGCCAAAGTGCTAACAAGCAAGGTGTGTGCAGGCCCAAGATGGCGCCTGGGTCACGCAGCAACAGGGCCGGATGCAGGAATGTTCCCAGGGTCTGCTGGCAGGCAGGGTGGGGGCGGGGCCTGCAGCAACCTCAGACTCCACAGCTCCACACTCCATGCCTCTCGTGGCATGAGTCACTCCCAGCCACCTGCCCGCGTGACGGCCTCGGTTCCTGGAGCAGAGAAGGCTCCGGACATGGAGTGGGTGGCGGGCCCTGCAGGACATTCTGTTTTTGGCTCCGGGTGGTGGAAATGTTTTCCACGTGTTTCCCTGTGTTTACAGAGCGAGGGCATGGAATGCAGTCCGGGCCGAGGCAGCCGCCGGCCGGGCCTGGCCTGATCAGCACGTCCGCGCAGAAACCGAGCACCAGGCCAGGGCCAGCAGGCGGAGGCGCTGGACCCCGGTGCTCCTGGTCCTGTGCCGGCCAGAAGCCAAGGTCCCGAGGGCCGGGCTGGGAGGGGCTTCCTCAGGACCAGTTCTGCAGTCAGAGGCATCGTGGGGGACCGCTGCTGCCGGGCCCTGGGAGTGAGTGCTGGGCGCTGGAGCTACCTCTGTCCTGGGTTCCCCGCTGACCTCACACACCCCCCCCTCCACTGGAGCTGGGCCAGCCCCTCCCAGCAGGGATCACCATGCCAGCTTTCCCAAGGGGGGTTCCTGGCTGGGTTTCCTCCTGGGGGATCAAGTCCCCAGTGGCCCGGGGCTCCCAGCGCCTCGTCAGAGCCTGCTGCCCGCCTCATGCCCGTCACGGCCGCAGGTGGTCAGGCGCCCAGGGTGCTAGCAGGCTCACTTCCTGGCCCTGGAGGCCTGGCCGAGGCGGGCCTGTCGCCGCCGCTGCTCTTCCTGGTCCAGCTGCTCCTTCAGCCTGACCACCTGAGGACAGGGCAGGCGCTCAGATGGGTGGGGAGGCCCCGAGCCAGGACCCTCCAGGCAAATGGAGTCTCCATAATGGGGCCCCAAGGAGAAAGAAACATCAGGCTGACGTACAGACAGACTGACAAACAGACTCACTACCAGCCAAGAGAACATGCACGTCCCCCGGGTTCTGCTCCACGGGGGACCACAGTACAGCCAGCGTCGCCCGCCGAGGCGGTCTGGACCCCACTAGGCAGGGTGGTGAGCTCCCTGTTGCAGCAAGAGTTCAAGTGGAGGCCGGGCAGTCACCCCTGCAGGGCCCTCCCTCCACCCCCACCCGGGCTCCTGGCCCTGCCTGCTGCTCCCACCCCTTCACCTGCTGCTGGTGGGGCCGCTCTCGGGACTCCAGGGCCTCTGCTGCCTGCAGCTGGGCCCCTGTGCAGCCGCTCAGCCTCGGCGGCTAGGTCCTGCTGGTGCTGGGCTGCCAGCTCCTGGAGCCGCTGGGCATGCGCCTGCTCCATCTCCACCATCTGGACCTGGGACGAGAACCTGGTCACCCCGCCGCCCCCGTCCCCCACTGGAGCACTGCACAGAACCCAGGGGGTGCCTGGGGTGCCTGCCCTTTGGGGCCACTAGGCCTGTGTTCGGCACACCATTGGCCTGATGCCGCGGTGGGGGACAAGGTCGTGTGAGGGGACACGCCCCAGCCCCAGAGCTGGCACGCAGACAAGGGCTGAACGCGTGAGCCACCTTCCGCCTTGAGCTCAAGCATTGAGCTCGGGGTTTTGGCTGCGCTGAAGCCCAGACTCCACGCTGGCTACCCCTGCCTTCACGGCCCTCACATCCCCTTGGCTGAACTTGGGGCCAGAGGGGTCTTGTCCACCGTTCCTTGCTGGCTTCTCAACTGGGGAAAGGGACAGAGCCAGCGTCCGGCGTCTGACAACGGTCAGAAAGCAGACTGGTGCCTCTGAGGACCCCCCCGGCCCCACACAGAGGGCAGTCCCCACCCTGGCTTCCAGCACCCCGCTCCTTGACTGTCCCACCAGTCCTCAGGGGGATCCCCGCATCCCACCAACAGGCGGGCCCTGGAGAGAAGCAGCTCTGCACAGGACGGAGGTGTGGCCTGGCAGACCCTGTCCTGGTCTGGGCTGCATCTCTGCAAAAGCCACGGTCCAGCCCGCCCCCTCTGTGTGTGACCCACGCCCACCTGGAGCCCCCCCCCCATAAGGCGGGGTGTGCAGGGTCCTGCAGCCTCTGACCTGCAGCTGCTGGTTCTTCCGCAGGGACCCGTCCATCTCCTGGTGCAAGGCGCTCAGCGACTGGTCCAGCTGCTCCTTCTCGGCCCCCAGCCGCACCGTGGTCCCCTCCCTCCTCATTGTCTCGCGCTCAGTCTGCAGAGAGTGGGGGTGGGCCTTGAGGCAGGATGTACTGGCCTCCCAGCAGGGGTGGGGGTCAGGCCACCTTCCCTCCGGGGGCACGGGGGGGTGCCAGGCCTTGGATGGAGCCATGGTGCCCGGGCAGGGCTCCAGATCCTCTGGGAGCCGGTGGGTGGGGAGGGCACCACCTGCCCATCGGGGCCTCAGTCCGTCAGTCCTCCTCACCTCTGCAAGTTGACCAAGTGGAGCCCCCTCTTCCCGCCCCCCTCACCACGCTGGGCCCAGGGCAGGAGGGATGGGCTGGGGTCAAACGTCAGGGAAGTGATCAAGGAGACATCCGCTTGGATGTGATGGTTGCGTTGTGCCTTTTGTCCCCTTTTGGACAGCCCCTTTGGAGGGAGGAGCGGAACCAGAACCCAGTCCTGAAAGCAGAGCCTTTCAGGGCCCAGATGTGGGGATAGGAGCACCACCTGTTGGCCCAGAAGGCCCAATTCCAGGGACCTGGATCCTGGGCCAGGCCTGGAGGGGTTCTCTGTGGTATGGGGCCCCACGCCATCTGCTCCCCCCTCTGCTTCACACCCTCAGGCGGCTGGGGCAGGATCAGAACCCAGGCCCTGCTCTCCACACACGCCTCCTCCATCACTCCAGGCCAGGCCACGTCTTGGGTGGTGTGCCGGGTAGGGTGCGGCCCGGGGCAGGGGGGCTGGGCGGCCGAGCTGGGGTCCTTCTGGGCCCAGGCCGTGGAGTGGGCCCAGCCTCGCAGGTGCCCCTGAGACACATCACTGTGGATCACATGGGAGGGTCTAGCATGGGGTCAGGGCTGCAGTGTTACAAAAACAAGAATTCCTTCTTCTTTAGAAGGAGAAACAAAGCGTCCCCTGCCCTGGAAAAGGAAGTCCTGTTCCTTTAAAACTCCAGTTACCCGCCTGGACGAGCACGCTGAAAAGCTGAGAGGAAAGTGGAATCCAAAATAAACACACGCCACATCGGTCCCCTCCTGAGACACCAATAAAGGGTTTATGGGCTCTCGGCCCTCACAGCTGACCTCCTGGAACTCATTAGCTGCTCCTCCCCTCCCCCTCCAGGGACCCGAGGTGGGCACCGTGCCCACAGCTGCCCTGCTGTCCCCGGCAGTGCCACTGCACCCTGAAAGGCGTGCCCACAGGGAGGCCGTGGTCCCCCAGCCCAGCCACTGAGTGTTGGGCTGTGTTTCGGAGAAGGGCCTGGTCCCAGTCACTGCCCCCCGGCTCACTCCTCCCGTGGGAGTGCAGGTGGCCCCGTTGTTGTTGTTAGGTGCTGCCAGGTCGGCTCCGACTCATAGCGACCCTCTGTACAACAGAACAAAACACTGCCCGGTCCTGCGCCATCCTCACAGTGCTTGCTGTGCTTGAGCCCGTTGTTGCAGCCACTGTGTCAGTCCATCCTATCGGTCCATCAGCTAGTGGCCCACAAGGTGGCCAGTGGTTTCCAGCCCCTGTTCTGACCAGGGGGCCTCCCTGCCTCTACCCTGCTCCCAATCCTGTCCCCAGAGGGACATGCCCCAACTGGCCCAGCTACTCCTCTCCTGAAAAGCCACTGGACATGTGTGCCTGCTGGCCAGGGCCCACACTATGGTGGTGTTTGGGCTTGCCTGGGGACACGTGGCCAGGACAGACGCTTCCTAGAGGCTCTGTTTCCTCTCTCTGGGCCTCAGTTTCCCTGCCAGCGAATCTGGGCCCCAGGAAGATGCTCTGGCTACTACCCCCATATTAGCCCAGACGGCTTCCCTTCGATCAGTTTCATACATGGGGGCTGGGGACAGGTCTGCTGTAGTCATTGGCCGGGGGACCTGCCAGACAGCCTGGCCTCACCTCCTTGCCACTCTGCACTTCGGGGGTCAGCTGCTGTCCTGCCCCTGCCCCTGTGCTGTGTTCCCAGCGTCTGTTTGACCCCCTTGGGCTGGTGACCCTGCCTTGCACCCCAACCTGTGTTGGGAGGTCTGCTGGTGTGACACTTGGACGCCACCCTCGATGCCATGCGTTTTCCAGTCTCTGTGTCGTGGGGGGCTGGCCTTGTCCCCCCCGGCCCACCCCGAGGTCTGGGTCACGTGTCCCTGACAGCGTCCTGAGGGAGAGGGCCAGGAAGGGAGAGTTGCCAAGCACCTATACTGACCGGGACCCACGCCACCTGTCACCTGGTTCCGCTCTTGGAGGTAGGGGCTGTGTCAGCCCGTGCATCTGGGCTCAGAAGGTGGGCGTCTCACACAGCCCACTGGGGCTCTGAGCCGCTGGCGCCGTGCCACGGCCCCGCCTGCCTCCCGCATAGGGAAGGCGGGTAGCACCACCGGAAGGGCCCTCTGCTCGGGGTGACCATGAGCTTGGAGAGCAGAGCAGGAGCTGTTCTCACTGGCAGATGTGGACGCGGAGAAGCCTCCCCCCACCTCCAGGAACCCTTCCCAGGGACCCTCCTCCCGGCCCCTGGGCCCGCCCCCTCGCCGGGGCCCACCCCTTCCTGGGACGCCCTCCCCTCACCGGGACCCTCTTTAGGGACCCTCCTCCAGGATCCTGTCCCCGCTGGGATCTCCTCTGGGACCTTGCCTCGCCGGGATTCCCCCCTCCGCGACCCCCTTCCTCCAACCCTAGACCCTCCTTCCCCAGGACTTTCCCACGTCCACCCCCGCCAGTATCCTCTCGCCCACCCCCTTCCTTGACCTCCCCCGGCCAGGATTCCTTGTTCGCCCCTCCCCACCCCCCTGGACCCTCTCCTCCCGCCAGGACCCCCTTCCCCTTGCTGGGACCTCCTCCCCCTCTCCACCCCGCCACCCCGGACCCGCGGACCGTACCTGCGCCAGGCGCGCGCGCAGTGCCGCCAGCTCCCCCTGCAGGCCTGCCCGCTCGGTGCGCAGCGCAGCCGTCTGTTCCCTCAGGGCGCGCTTTGCCGCCGCCGCCGCCTCCTGCTCGCCGCGCTGCCGCCGCCAGAGCGCCTGGACCGCGAGAGGCCGCGCGTGGGCAGGGGCACAGCGGGCGGGGGTGGGGAGGGGGGCCCCGGGCTTCTGGCGCGCACAGTTGACCCCTCCGTCGTGGGGTGCATACTGGGGCGGAGGCAGGAAATCCCGGCGGGAGCCCTCGGGCCTCTGACTTCCTGCCTCACTCTCCCGTGAGCCTCAGTATCCTGATCTGTCAACCTGGGGAGCATCAGCATCTTCCTCCCAGGCCTTCCTTCCCGCTGAGGATCTCTTCCCACACTGTTAACGGCTTCCTGGTGACCGCACACCCACCCTCTTGGGGGCCTCACCTGCCGCAGCGCGCCCTCCGCCTCCTGGCACCTGAGCTCCAGGCCCGCCAGCTGCCCCTCCAGCAGCCTCCCAGTGGCGGCCAGGTCCTGGCTGTGGCTCCTGCTCTCGTCCAGCGCCTGGTGCAGTGCGTTCAGCTGCTCCTGGGGGAGGGAGACACGGGGCACCTCCTGGAAACACGGGGTAGGGGGGATGACACAGAGCATCTGTCTGTCCTGCCCTGTCCTGCAGGTCTGATCGCTGGGGTGGACACAGGCCAGAACAGGGTCAAGCGTGTGCACTGATTAGGGGGTTCCTAGTGCAGCCACGGGGAATCCCTGGTAGGGCAAACGGTTAAGGACTGGGCTGCTAACCAAAACGTTGAAAGTTCAAGTCCACCCAGAGGCACCTTGGAACAAAGACCTGGTGATCTGCTTCTGAAAAATCAGCATCTGACTCAGAATCGACTGGACAACAACAACATCAAGTGTTCGTGGGAGAAATGGTAGTTCCTTTCGGCTGACTGTGGACTCTGAAAAAATCACTGACCACAACTGATGGGGCTTAGAGTTGGCGGAGTGGACAAGTGGAGGAAGCAGGCGGGTGTCCACACAAGAGCGGATGGTGGTTTGGGCTCAACAGGGCAAGAAAAGGAGGATTTGGCATGAAATTGAGGCAGACTGGAGGGTCAGGGTGTGGAGAAGGAGGAGGGGCTGTCCTGAGGACGCCAGGGTACCTAGCCTGGGCAGCTGGGTTCGTCCGGGTCCCATCTCCTGCAGTGGGAAAACAGGGTGGGAGCACGTTTGGGGTGGAGGCTCAGAGTTCACTCTTGAGGGACCGCCCAGGAGTTGCTGCCCCAAGGGCCTCGGCCACAGCTGTGCCCAGGGCACTGACAGGCGGGAAGGGTGGGCTGCAGGGGAGGGGAGCAGGAGAAGAGAAGGGACCCAGGGCCCAGCAGAGAGGTGGGAAAGGTGGAGAAGGCAGCCCCAGGGAAGGGGGTTTCAGGATGGAGGGAGAGGTCAGATGTGGGGCCGGGGGGCGCTTGTTCAGGAGGGGAGAGACTGGGGACCGAGCGGCCCATGAGCAAGGCTGCAGGTGTCCTAGTCTGGGGACAAGGCAAGCCAGGCACGCTCCAACCCTCACTGCATGTCATCAGCAAACGCCTGGTACCAATGATGGCTGCGGTCTTCCTGGGCATTGTGTCCATGCTCATACTCCATTCTCACCACAGCTGGAACCTATACTGTCCTGTCTTACAGAGAAGGACCTGGGGCTCGGGGGCTGGGGAAGGGGTCCAGGCCTCACGTCCCTCCTCTGCTGCCAGGTGGGGGCAGGGCGGGTGGACACTGCAAGCACTGCTTTTGTCTCCCACTTTATTGCTCTGAAAAAGGGAGAGGGGAGGACAATGCTGGTGCTGAAAATTGCCGTGTTTCACCCATCCTTGCAAATTTGAAAATGACCACTTTCCGCTTGTATGCATTTTCTCATAATAAAGCAGAGGTTTCCTTCAAATATGGCTTAAATATTTCATGGTATTTTTAAGAGGCCCCAAACCAATTATGTGAAGCATTCTGCTCCTCTTGTAATGACTCAGCTTTTATGGAATTCAAATGAACCGTGGTAATTGAATGGCGTGCCCCTTATTCACGCCCCACCCTGCCCCTTGCAGGTTCCCCTTTCTGGGGCAGGGCAGCTGTCCGTCCTGGTGCTGCATGGCAGGCGGTGGACAAAGAAACCTCCCCAACTAGGCTTAGTGGCAGAGCTGAAGTAGCTACGGAAAAGCACAGACCCCGCCCTTCTCTCCCGAGGTTGGATAGGCTCCAGTTGCTCCCCTTCCTGGGAGAGTTGGTGCAGGGAGGCGCCCTGGGCTTGGGACGAGGATGTTAGGCCCCAGCCTGTGTCCCTGGACCAGTCCTGGGCTCAGTTTGCTCATCTGTGGCATGGGTATGATGCAACCTCGTGGGCTCTTGTCAGGATCTAACCAAGGACGGGTGGGGCTGTGGGAGTGCCATGGAGACCATTAGGTACCACCCACATGTGCCTGTTAAGAATGGAGCTCTTGCATGGAATTCCCCTGTGTGGAGGTGGGGAGGTATCTCAAGCACTCCCCTAGGGGTTGGGGGCAATAGTGGTTCAGGGGTAGAATCCTCCCCTTCCACGTGGGAGACCAGGGTTTGATTCTTGGCCAGTGCACCTCACACGCAGCCACCGTAGCGTGTTGCTGTGATGCTGAACAGGTTTCAGTGGAACTTCCAGATTAAGACAGACTAGGAAGAAAGGCCTGGAGATCTACTTCTTAAAATCAGCCAAAGAAAACCCTATGGATCACAACGGCCTGATCCGCAACTGATCATGGGGATGGCGCAGGACTGGGCAGGGTTTCATTCCATTGTGCACGGGGTGTCATGAGTCCGGGGCTGACTCAACAGCAGCTAACAATAGCCACCGAGGGAGTGAGGATTTCATTAAACATTCTGCACGTTGTACTATGAAGAAAAGCTTGCCAGGCAAGCACCCCAACCCTGGGCGCTTAGAACTCAGGCCTCGCCTGCTCCTTTCTCTTCCGCAGCTGACTGGCTGATAAAGGACTAAAAAGAACCTCCTGGGGTCCCAGTGTAGCTGGTTGCACCCACAGGGGCCATCAGGCCAGGCGCAGAAAAGAAGTTGCACCAGGAGGGCCTCAGCATGAAGGAGGTCAAAACCCCTCACTTTACAGAGTGGGACCCCAGGGCCCAGACAGGAGTCAGAGGCCCAGTGCCAGGTCGTGCTGGGCCACGTCTGCACCCTGGCTGTCCCTCTTGTCTCTCTGTCCACTCTTGTGCCAATCCCTCCTGTTTTGGTTGCACTAGCTTTATGCTAAGGTTTACTGTCCTTTTCAAGATTTGCTTGGAAAATCGCAAACGTCTATTCTTCGTAAACTCTGCAATCGGTTTGTCTGGTTTTCCTCCCAAACACACCACAAACAAACAGACAAAACCAAACCGAGAAAGCAAACAACCAACAAACCAGGGACATAAACAAAGATCTGTCCAGAAGGTGATCAGAAAAGAATCATCATAACCGCCCCACCGGCACCCTCTCTCCCGTAAGACTGGGTATGAGCAGCCAAGCGAGGTGCAAACATGTCATTGTTCTTTTTAATAACTTCTAGATTAAAGAAGACATAAAAACTGAAGCTATGATAAAATTATTAAAAACGGAAAGAATTCCTATCAAAAGCCCAGGAGACACACATCAAAACCTAGTTAGGGGAAAATGCGGTAACATTAATGCTTTTCTTATTGCATGAGAATGCCCAACCCAATGAACCAATGATTCATTTAAGAAATTAGAAAAATTACAATAACAAAAGAGAAGAAGAGGATAGTAGTAGAGGTAAAAGCTAAAATGAATAAACCAGACAAAAATGAAAGAAAGTTTAAATGTTGATTCTTTGTAAAAATCAATAAAACAAATGAACTGTTGGCAAGTCAGGTTAAGAAAAATAAACAAAAATCTACAATATTAAAGACAGAAATAGATACAACTACATATAATAAGATGAAAGTGATGCTAAGCAAATCCACGAACAAATCCTTGGCAATGCATTTGAAATGACAAAAGCTGACCCCAGAAGAGATGGAAAGCTAAGACAGATCAGGGATATAAAAGTGGTTGGCAAGGGAATTAAAATCTGTTATCTGACACCGAAAAGTCCCTGGGTGGCACAAACGGTTCGTGCTCGACTGCTAACCTAAAGGTTGGCAGTTTGAACCCACCCACTGGCACCACAGAAGAAAGGCCTGGCAATCTGCTTCCATAAAGGTTACAGTCAAGAAAACCCTATGCAGCAGTTCTACTCTACATGGGTCTCCGTGAGTTGGAACTGGTTTGACGGCAGTGGGTTTGGTTTTTGGTTTATTTAACACATCGGGAGAAGTACAGTGTTCACAGGTAAGTTCAAATTAATCTTTAGAGACAACGTAATTCCTGTGTTATTGAGACTGGCCAGGTGATTGATAAAGGGAAGCTCACCCATTCATTTTCTGAAGGTAAAATAATCTTAAACACCAAAACCTGATAAATACAAAGTCATCAAGTAATACAGCTGCAGACCTTCTCCACAAACCTTGGTAATTCAATTATAACTGTAGTTTGGAGTCCTTGGCATTGGACCTTGTGGACCGCATGTCCTGCCAGCCCCACAGACCTGTGCCCAGGAGGGTGAGAAGCTCCCGGGACTTTGCCTCTAGAACTGGCGACTGATGCTTAGCGTGGGCCCTGGAGGAGAGTTCTCAGGCAGAGAAGAGGAAGGGTGTGTGAGAGGCTGGCACTGGGGGGGCGGACAGGGCATGTTTAGGGGGGCTGGACGGGGCATGTTTTGGGGGCTGGACAGGGTATGTTTTGGGGGGCTGGACAGGGAATGTTTGGGGGGGCTGGACAGGGCATGTTTGGGGGCAGGGGAGGGAGGGGGCAGTGGCAGAGTCTAAGGACGCATCAGCCCCTCCCAGCCATCGAAGCTGTGAACCTGGCTCCCATCCCAGGACGACAACCTGGTGGCCTCTCCACGTGAGCATGGGCAGGGCGGGGGTGACGCTGGGTGGGAGCCAGGCCCTCTGCCCGAGTCACACTGGCTCCGAGGCCGGCCAGCTGCGGGTGGGCCTCCCTGGGGCTGGTTTGGTGCGTGTGCTGACGCCCAGGCAGGGTTGTGCATTGTTGTCCTACTGAGTCCCTGGGGTCGCCCTGGAAACAGGGAGGGATTTGCTTTCAAACAAGACTCTTACTGTTTGCATAGCACAGCCTACCATTTAATTAGAAAAATATGTTTTTAATGAACTTTCTCTTGACAAACACGTTGCCTTATGTGAAACAAGGAAAAAGCAGTCCATGGAAGTGAAAGAAGTTGTGTAAAATTCGAACCTGGCTTTGGAACACGCTGGTGGGTTGGCAGAGCCGGAAGAGGCGCTGGGCCTGCCCTGCTGGGTATGGCAACCTGACCTGGGTGTGCCAGGGTCATGGCGGCAGGGAGTCCCGGCCCAGAGGAAACACCCCAGCCCCCCATTTCCCTGTTTGGTTTGTTCTTAGTCAAAGGTCCCTGGGATGTCTGGTGAGATGGGGACTTCGATGTATGCGCGTCTAAATCCCCTCCCAGATGCCCACCCAATGGCTGACAGCTTACGAAAGCTGGGAAAACGTTCCTGGAAGCTGGAGAGGGGTCATTTAGGATTCCTGTGAGCAGGAAGAGCCGAGGGGGTGGCAGGCAGAGCCAGCTCCAAGGAGCCCATCACCACGGCTCCTTGTGGAGAAATTGCCTCCCCAGACTGGAAGTGGGAACCCCCCAGGGACCTCCGACTCGGAAGAGCAGGACCCCGACTCAGAAGTGAGCAGGAGTGTGGAGGGGAGGGCTATCTATATCCCACTGGGGCCTCTAGGAAGAGGGTCATGGCGGGTGAGGGACCAAGGGCCCCTGGCAGGAAGGCAGCTATGTCACTTGGAGAACAGGGCCCTGGGACAGAAATGTGCTGGGGGGGGGGCGGGGCAAGCCGCCCCCACCGCTGGCTTCCCCACTCTCCCCCATGGCTTCAGGATCTTGGAGCCTGTCCCTCTGCCTCCCACTGGGGCCTGACACATTTGGGCAGGAACGCAGGAAGTCCCTGATGAGTCCTCTCCACGCCCAACTTCCAACAAGAACACACTCCCTTCTTCAAAGACGTGCAAGGGAAACATCACAGAATAAGCAGCCATCAGCTGTGGTTCAAAAGAACAAAGTGGCCGAGGAATTCGCTTGGAGGGCCCTCTGATTAAAGACAGAGTTACGCCCTGGTAGCTCAGCTCAGAAGATGCTGATCGACCATCTCAAGGAGATTCAAGAGGCGCTGTGAATACGGAGTGGGAGCAGGGATGTCCTCCTGAGATAAAACCACACACAACAAAGAGAGGGGGCTGTGGAGGCAGGGAAGCAGGTCAGACCCAGAAGGTAATCAAATTCATCAGATCGAGAGTCCTTCCAGAACTTGGGAGAGCAATGAAAGGAGCAGACAGACAGGACAGAGCCATCAGAGCCAGTGTTGGGACATTATCAATTCCGGGAGAAAAGAACAGAGGAGATGGAGGAGAAGCTTTTCTAAAGCGGAAGAAACTTCTGTATACTGAAGATAGATTTGTTTCCGCAAACGAAGAGGGTTCACCATGCACAGGCAAACATAACGGAAGGAAACAACACCAAATCAATGTTTTGGAGACATTTTTGAATTTCACAGATAATGGAACTCCTGGCTTCTGCCCAGGATGTAAAAAGCTTGAAGAGTGTCTACAAGAAAAATCCAAATAATCCACAGAATCCTCACATTTCTCAAACCCATCTGAGGCCAAAGGACACCAGCTAGACTGAACTCAGAAGACACACTGGCTCCTTCCAGAAGAGGTGGGAAGTGGGCTCTGAATCACCTGTGTCCAAGCGAAGGCGAGTGATGGGGCACCAAACGGTGGGCACGAAGTGTTAGGCCAACATGTCTAACAAGTGTGGTGGGTGGAGTTCTAAGACGGCCCGTGAGCTTCGGCCCACTGGTGTGACACCAAGGATTAGGTGAGGTTACACAGCAAAGGAATTCTGCAGATGTAGTTGGGACCCACCATCACATGGATCGACACATAGCCACAACAATGGACTCAGACACCAATGATCATGAAGATGGCGCAGGACCAGGCGATGTTTGTCACCATGAGTCAGAGCCATCAGACAGCAACCGACAGCAAGGTGGCAAAACCAGGGTCAAAAGGAGCTAGTGAGGAGGCATAAGAAGCAGAAAGCATCTTATCAGTGATCAAAGCAAAAACAGAATACGTAAACAATCACAAAACCTTTGCTGTCGTTAGGTGCAGTCGAGTTGGTTCTGACTCATAGCGACCCTATCTGCAACAGAGCGAAACCTTTGAAACCAAAACCAAACCTGTTGCCATTGAGTCGATTCAGATTCATAGCAACCCTATAGGACAGAATAGAACTGCTCCATAGGGTTTCCAAGGAGCAGCTGGTGGATTTGAACTGCCAATCTTTTGGTTAGCAGCCAGATGTTTAACCACTGCACCACCATGGCCCCGAGTGAAACCTTGAAGTGAGGTAAATTCCCCTAGAACGGGCAGAGACTCGACGGTAGGACTGAAATCAAGAACAGGTCAACGAAATGATGGTCAAGTGCAGACTCAAGGACGAGAGAGGACAGCAGAGAGGACACTGACATAGTGGACCAAGTCGAATTCCAGGCACAGTAGCATTGAACAGCTCCACGGAGGCCACTCTACACAGCAGAGAAGTCAAGACACCTCACATCCTGAGGAGCAAGTCAGAGAATTCTATGCATCAAAGACCCTTAGAAATAAAGGAGATGTTGATCAAAGGAATTGAAGTGGGAAAACCCAACATACCACACTCAGCCTTGATGAATTCAGAAGACAGATCAAGTATGGAACATTTGAATTAGCTTTTTTTTAAAGGTTGATTTAATAGGTGTATTTCAAAAAGTGTCACCTGCAAATAGCAATATTATCCTCATATGTACATGAAAAGGTTTTCAAAAGAAATTCACGTATCGAGCTGCGTGGAGAAGAACAGATTCGAAAGCGGAGAAGTACACAGAGCACACACTCTAGCAGCAGTGAAACAGAAAGTGTGATTTACAACAACAGGGGAGGCTCCAGTATCAGCCCCTGTGGCCACTCCAGCAAAGGCCACACACTTGTGGCTTTAAAGACATGCATTTATCATCTTACAGTTCTGGAGGGCAGATGCTGGAAATGGCCTCACTGGGCTAAAATCAAGGTGCTGCAGGGCTGGTTCCTTCTGGAGGCTACGGGAAGAATTCATCTCCTTGCCCTTTCTAGCTTCCAGAGGCTGCCCGCATGCCTTGGCTAGCGGCCCCTCCTCGGTGCTCTGAGCCAGCACTGCCAGTCGGCTGTGGAGTGTTTCTCTGCATCCTTCAGACTCCACCCTCCTGCGCCTCTCTGCATCGGCCATGTGATGATGCTGGGCCCACACATATTCTCCAGGACGATGTCCCCATCTCAAGGTCAGCTGATTAGCAGCCCCAATTCCATCTGCAGCCTTAATTCCCTAATGGACTCACAGCTTCCAGGGAGTAGAACTTGGACATCTTTGGGAGGCCATTATTCTGCCGACCACCATGACTTTTTAAAATAACTCTTGGGTTAAAGTGTCAAATAAAAACTATCTGGTTGTTTTTGTGTGCCGACGAGTCGATTCCGACTCATAGCGACCCTGTAGGACAGAGCCGACTGCCCCATGGGGTTTCCAAGGCTGTAATCTTTAAAGGAGCAGATCGCCGGGCCTTTCCTCCCTCAGCCACTGGGTGGATTTGAACAACCGACCTTTCATTAAGCAGCCGAGTGCTTAACCACTTTGCCACCAAGGCTGCTTAAAACAATTTAGGGACTAGAAAGTAACAATGACGGACGTTGCCTTCCCTCCCGCCCCGTCTGTGGACTGGAGATGGAGTAGACCTCCTTTCCTGCCCCTGCGGCATGTGAGTGGGCGGCTATGCGCAGATCTGAGGGCAGACCATGGCCCTTTGTTTGACCTCCTCTTCCTCCACAGGGAGGGGGTGGGTGTGCCCCCACCTGTGCTCCTCGGGCCTCTGCCCTCCGTCCCTGCCCGGGCCTCTAGCCTTGCCTCCAGTGTCCCCCGCTCAGATCCAGCTCCGAGGCCCCTTGCCTCCTCAAACTCAGTGGTTCAGAACGGTACGCAGCCCAGTCCAGCCTCCCCTTTCTCAGGCCCCCACATCTCTGCGCGTCTCCCGGGTCCTGCTACCATCCCCAGCCGAGCCACCTGACCCTTTGGCTGACCCCTCCAAGTCTTCTCCATGGGCAGCGGCAGCCGGAGGGGCCCTCCTGAAGCAGACTGTCCTTTCTCCCAGTAGTCCTGCTTCCTCAGACCGGCCCTCACTGACGGGGAATGTGCTTATCCCGAAGCCACCCCGAAGCCCTCTGGTGGCCCGGCTCCCCCCTGTAGGCCCTTGAGGCCCACCAGAGCCCACAGGCCTCTGCACCGACCAGGAGCATGAACGTGATGCCCTCTGGGGTTGGGGCCCTGCAGGGTGCCTGGCCCCCCACTTCCCGCAGACCTGAAGGCCATTACACCTCCTTAGCGGACCGTGTCCCACCCTGCCCCGTGCTCCGTGCCCTGAGCCGCCTCCTTTGTTCCCTGCCGGCTCCGTCTTTGCAGGGGAGATGGGGGGGGGGCGGCTCTGATGCCCTGATACCTGGGGGCAGCTGTCTTGCAGGGCTTGCTGTCCTCCACCCTCTGAGCTCTGTGGGGAGCTCCCTGGACACTGGCCCATCCCACCGTGGGGACTTTAGCACACTCCAGGGGTCACTGAGAATCGTGCTGAGCTGCCGCGAGGGCTTCCTCGTGAGCGGTGCCAGAGGAGGCCTGGCTCTGAAGCCTGGACGCCCCCTCCACCCTGCCAGCCTTCCCTCCCTGGGCCCAGGGCCCCCCTGAAAGCTGCAGCCTTGCATCTCCGCTGCAGCACGGGGCCGACTCCTAAGGCCCTCTACCCGAGTTCCTTCTGGGCGTCGCCCTTCTTAAAAGTGGCTCTGAGTTCAGCAGAAGTCCTGGGGCTGCATAAAGGGGACTGTAGAGAGCTCCCAGGGTCTGGCCCCCCGCTCTGTCCCCTCCCTCCCACCAGAGCTAAGTCGCTCCCTGGCCCAGAACCCCGGTTTCCCCATCTGCAGAAGACAGCTCTGCCATGGGCAGCCCCAGGCCCCAGTGCCATGGCCCACGAGCTCTGGGGGCCCACTGCAGCCGTGCCTCTACCCACACGGACCCACCTGGAGGCGGCACCTCTCCTTGTCTGCTGCCCGGGTGCTTGCCAGGTGCTCTGCTTCCAGCCTGCGGAGCGCCTCTTCCTGCAGAGCCCAAGCTGCCTGCACGCTGCTCACTGCACTTTCTGCCTGGCGCTGGCCTGTAGGGGACAGGGATGGCTCACATGACTGCCGAGTCCCCGGGGTCGGTGGGACTGCCATGCAGAGCCCCTCTGCCCATTTCACAGGCCAGCAAACTGAGGTTCAGTGAGCTTAAGTGATGGCACCTCGAAGCTCACGGGTTCCTGGGGGCTGGCCTGGGGGTCCCAGCTCCCTTGGCCTGGACTCCAGGCCCCCGTCCCCACTCCTGCTGCCCGCTGTCCCTCTGCCCTGCCTTCTTTCCTTCCACAAACATCCTTTGTCACCGACTTGTGCCAGGCGTGGGCCGGGCCCTCCTGGCCTGGCCTCTGAAGGGAGGGGGCAGTAAGCGGGTAAACACAGGTGTGTGACGTGGTGGTGGCAGGGGGCTCCTCGAGGGCAGATGTCATGGGGCAGAGGCCTGGATGAGTGGAGAGGGCGAGCCCAGAGGCTGGGGGGGAGAACTCCCGAGGCAGCCAGGGCAAAGGGACTACGGTGTGGGCCACCAGATCGGTGTGGCTGGGGGGGCAGGAAAGGCTGGTGGGGGAGCTGGGGCTGGACTGGGTAGGACCTTCGAGGGCTCTGGATTTAGCCCCCTTCCCTCGGTGTGACAGGGGGCAGCTGGCCTGGGCGGGGCCCTGTGGTCCACTGCTGCAGCTCCCGGGGCCTCCCCCTCTTGGGGCAGGAGTGCCCATCCCTGCTCCTCAGCCGCCTTCACCCTGGGGTGAGGCCTCCTCAGCCGTCCTCGCCCTGGGGTGGGGCCCCTCACAGCCGCTCCCTGGGGTGGGGTGGGGGCAGGGAGGTCACCTTCCTCAGCCTCGGCCAGAGCTTTCTGCAGTTTCGCGGCATGGCTCTGGGCTCTGGCCCGTGCGCTCTCCGCCTCACTCAGCCGGCTGCTCAGGCTCACTGCCTGGCAGCGGGCGTCGTCCTGGCGGAGGGAGAGGCCCGGGTCATTGGGGTGGCCTGGAGGGTGGCCGAGGTGTCTGCCAGCGGGGGGATGGGGGCGGGTGGGGTGGAAGATCAGGTGGTTTCTGCCCCAGGCAGCTTAGTCCAGCTTGGGGCAGGGAGCGGGAGGCGAGGTGGGCAGTGCTGCGGCTGCAGGGCAGGGCGGGTGGTGCCAGGCAGCTGAGCTGATCTCCAGGCCTGGGGAGGGTAGGCAGGGCTGGGGTGTGGAGGTGAGCCTGGAGTGGGGCGCATCCCGGAGGGGTGACTCAGGGGCTTTGCTGTCTGGTCTGGAGGGCATTTATCTCGTGCCACAAAGGGTGGCCTTGACACTGTGACCCGAGGAGGCTGCCAGGTCTCAGCAGGCCTGGACAGACGGACAGACGGACAGCAGTCTGAGTGAGCCCGTGTGCCCCCTCCTGTTTCCGATGTGTGGGGGAGGGGCCAGAGGGGGGGCTCACTCGCTCTCTCTGGGCATCCCACAGCTTCTGCACGAAATCCCTCAGCGCATCCCGCACACAGGTCACGTCCAGGACCTCCACATCTCTGGGGCCAGGCGAGGGCCATTGGAGCCGTGAGCAGGACCCCACAGAGGGGCTGGTGCTCTGCCGCCCGCTGCAAGCCTGGGGGCCATCGGACCCTGCAGGAGAGTGGTGGCTGAAGGGACGTGGATGGGGACACTGGGACACAGGCATCCTCTCCCCTTCCCTCTGCTGTGTCCGCCATGGGGAGCTGGAGGTCCAGGCTCCTGAAACTGGCCCAGGGAGGGGTCAGGGTGTCCAGGCGGGTGGCAGAGCTGGGACAGAGCCAAGGAGGCCACTGACCTTTGGAAGGGGAGCTGGGCCGCTGGGGGGAGGCCGAGGCGCTCTGCCCCCGGAGCCCCAGGCCACGGCGCAGCGTGGAGCACAGCTGGTCCAGCTGGTTCTCCGTGTCCCGCCAGGCGCCCTCTGCCTGGGCCAGCTCCTGCTCCAGGCCACGGATCCGACGGCCAGCATCATCTAGGCGTGCCCGGAGCCCCTCAGCCGTGCCGTCCGCCAGCCGCAGCTTCCGGGCCACACTGTGCACCTCAGCCCGCAGCGTCTGCTCGGCTGCCCGGCTCTCCCGGAGCTGTGCCTGGAGCTGCTTCTCCCGGGCCTCGCCGCTGGCTTCTGCCTCCGCCAGCTTCTGCTGCAGCCCCAGGACCTGCAGAGGGACACAGGAGGCTCAAAGGGGGCCGGCACCTGGGTGACGGTGTCCAGCCAGCCTGAGAGGAGTCCCTGGGGTCACTGTCCCAGCTCACCCGCTCGCCCTGGGCCCTCGGCCTCACTGGCTCCACCACTGTCCTTGCGGGCCACAGCTGGGGGCCCTGGACCTGTGCCCCCAGCCTATGTTTGGTGGGGGACACTTGAGCCCAGATGGGGAAGGGCACCTCCAGGACCCCTAGCACCTGCCTGGCGACCCACAGCATGGCCCTTCAGCAAAAAGGACAGGAAGGCCCGGCTGGTACTGAGCAGCGAGTCTCTGGAGCTGGCATGGGGGCTGTGAGTGCAGGTGTATGAGTGTGTGCAAGCGTGGGCTTGGGGACATCCACGTGCCCGTGGGAGTGTGTGGGCACAGAGGGGGTCAGGGTGTGTGCAGGGGTGGCGTAGGTGTGAGGGAGCCTGTGCTCCGGGTCCTGAGCATCACCTGGGCGAGGCCCCGGCCCTCCTTTTCTAGCCCTGAGCTCTGGGGCCCAGGGGGAGGGGCTGCGGCTTTACCACTGGCCCTTCCATCAGAGTCCCTCCCCTACACCCCTACACGTGCAGGTCCCGCTGAGCAGTGGGGGTGCAGACAGACCCATGGGGTGTTCGTGAGACAGAGCAAGAGGACGGCTGGGTTGGTCCCGGCCACCCCACCTTCCCAGGGCCTCACCCTCAGGGCCCCTCTCCTGGGCAGGTCGGGCCTGGCTGCCCCTGAGGGGCTGGCCGCCTTGCTTACCTCCTTCCTGGCCCCCTCGCAGGCTGCCTCCAGTTCGGCCACTTTTCTCTGCAGCTCCAGAGTCTCCTGCCGGCCCTGCTCCTGCCGCTGCACGTCCTGGGCAGCTCTGGCCTGCAGCTTGCCCACCTCCCGGCCCTTCCTCTGGGCCTCAGCCTCCAGCGCCTTCACCTGGGTGTGTGGGCCGTGTGGTGAGTGGCCCCGTGCCCCTCGCAGGGACCCGGCAGCTGCCCTGAGCCCTGCCTCCCCACACAGGTCCTCTCTGCACCCAGGCAGGGTCATGCCGAGTCCCGTCCTTGTGACCAGTTCTGGGGTCCGGGGCTGCCTCCATCAGTCACTCCACAAATACTCACCTGGTGCCCTCTCTCTGGGGCCAGGACACTGCGGGAGCCAGGAGCCCTAGTGACACCGAGTGCTCCTGGGGCAAAGAGGAGGGCTCAGTGCCCTGCCTGGGCAGTGCCCAGAGGCCGAGGGGGGCCCAGGGTGGGGGCTCCCTGGGGGTGTGGAGCAGTGGTCAGGAGTGCAGGCTCTGAGTTCTCGCTCTCACTAGCAGAGTGACTCCGGCCAGACCACGCAAACTCTCTGTGCCTCAGTTTCTTTATCTGGAAAGTGGGGAAGGGAACAGAACCTTCCTCACAGAGTTGCTGCACAGATTAAATGAGAGTACCTGTTGCCGTTGAGTCGAGTCTGACTCATAGCGACCCTCTAGGACAGAGTAGATCTGCCCCGTAAGGTTTCCAAGGCTGTAATCTTTACGAGAGCAGACTGTCACATCTTTCTCCCTTGGAGCAGCTGGTGGGTTCAAACCACGGACCTTTCAGTTGGCAGCTGAGTGCTTTAACCACTGTGCCACTGGGGCTCCTTTAAATTAGAGTGACACATGTAAAATGCCTGGTGCAGAGGGAGCTCTTGATCAATGGTACCTATTGTTACAATGGACACTTTCTTAACCAACTCATCTAAAGAAGTTTACACAACATGGCTTCAAATTCTTTTGACACACCTCTTATTGGGAGGAGGGGTCTATGCCCCTCCTCTTGAATCTTGTGATCAGTTGAATGAGGTGTAAGTGACCTGTGACTTCTGAAGCAAACTCAGAAAAGATGAAGCAGTGTCTGCCTTATTCAATGGGACACTTGATTGGTGGGGCCTGAGCCACCATGCTGCGAGGAAGCCCAACGATCCTGAGACTGCCATGCTGGGAGGAAGCCCACACCACTTAGAGAAACATGTAGGTGCTCCAGTTGGCAGCTCCGCTGAGCTCCCAGCCGACAGCCAGCATCAACAACCAGACATGTGAGAAAAGATGCCTCCAGACGATCCCAGCCACCAACAGTCAAGTCACCCTTAGTTGTCAAGTCTTCTCAGCTGAGACCCCAGGCACTGTCGAGCAGAGCCAAGCCAGTCCCCTTGTCTGGATTCCCGACACAGAGACTCCATGAGCATAATAAAATGGCTGTTTTTTATTAAGCTGCTAAATTTTGAGGTAACTTATTCTGCAGTGGTAGTAATTGGAACAAAAATTTAGTACTGGGAGTGGGGTATTGCCATAACAAAAACCTAAAAATGTGATAATAGCTTTGGCACTGGGCAAAACATGGAAACTGGAAGTAACCTAGGAGATTTTTAGTGAATGCTGACAGCCCTCAAAGAAACTGTTGACGAAGGCTGGGAGGCAAGGAAGAAATTGAAAGCTGGAGGAAAGGAGACCTTGTTATATAGTGATGGAAAGGTTAGCAAAATTGACACTTGTGATAATATGGACAATATATCTGTGATCTAGGCAAGGAGATTTTTAGACAGAGTATTGAAGATAATACCTGAATTTTTCTAGCTGTCTATAACAAAATGAGATAGGAGAGAGGTGAACTGAAAAATGAACTATTCAGTTTTTGAGTGGAATTTGGAGGAAATATAAAATACCTAAAACAGTCATTTTAGCCAGCAAAGAGTCTCAAGGTAAGGCGAAGATCAAATCTAAGGTGACATTGTAAGACCCTTTGTTAAGATCTCAGAAAGACTTAAGGTAGTGCCTCATAAACCTTTCAAACAAAAAGGCCTTCTAAGAATCTTAAGGACACACCTCATAAACATTTTCTGTTAAATAGTAGGGCTGCTAAGAATATTAAGAGCCTTATTTTACAGCAGCCTCGTACGGAGCCCAAGATAGAGAAGGGCTTATCTTGAAGAGATTTGTGAGTGTGGCTTTCATTGAATGAAATGGATTATAAGTTGATACACAGAAAACTCACAGAGTTTTTAAAAGAGTTGTATCTGCTTGAACTGAAGGGAAGAGAGACAATACAAAATGAAGGGAATTCTTTGGATCCCTGAACTACCATAATCAGGAAGTAAACTGAGAAGCTTATTCGGTTGCAAACACAGGCCACTTATGGAAAAAGAATGTCTTAGAGGCTTGTGATCATTAAGGTTGTGTGTTAACTCGGATGGGCCGTGAGTCTCAGTGGTTTGGCAGTTATGATGTAGTCTGGCAGTTGTATAATGAGGTAATCATCTCCATGACGAGATCTGATATGTGATCACCTCCATGATGGGATCTGCTGTGAGTAGCCAATCAGTTGAAAGGAAGTCTCCTTGGGGGTGTGGCCTGCATCCAATATAGAAGGACTTTCTGGCAAAGCTCTCGGGCTCTTGCTTGTTCTGGATCCTGCAGCTGGCTCCTGTTCATCTAACCTCTGCTTCTTGGGACTTAAGCTAGCAGCTTACCTGCCAATCCTGGGATTCACCAGCCTCCATGGCCTGTGAGCCAGAGGCCTGTTGTCTGACCTGCTGATCTTGGGTTGGCCAGCCCTGCAGCTACATGAGTCAGGAGAAGCCTCCAGCCTGACCCACGGACTTGGGACTTTTCAGCCTCTACAACCAAGTGAGCCATTTCCTTAATATAAATCTCTCTCTCTTTATATATATACATACATAGATGCTTCACTGCTTTTGCTTCTCTCGAGAACCCAGCCTAAGACAGAGAGTAAAGCCAAAAGCCAGAGAACAACTGCTAGTGAGTAGGACTGCGTCCTAACCAGGAACCTGGCAGCTGGTGCCTAGCTGGATTTCAGAGCTGTTCGGGTCACTGATTGCTGTGTGTCCCATTTCCCCTCTGTGAACAGGAGCCTCTACTGTGCGGGTCCTCTGCCTGTCCCATCGCTGTATACTGAGTGTGTGAGGGGCAACAACGTGTTTCCTTAGTTCACAGGCCTTCAGACGGAGAGGACCATACATGGGGAGTCACACCCAAAGAACCAGGCTCAGGAACCTCCCCTGCACCTGGACCTGATTCAGTAAAAAGATCCTGGACCTCCAGCCTGAGCTTGATGCCATAATGGATGAGACTTCTGGGAGGTAGTAATAGGATGAGACTTCTGGGGGGTCACGAGAGAGAATTAATGTATTTTGCAGGTGAGATGAATGTAAATAATCTGTGGCTAGAGGGTGGACTGTAGTGATTTAAAAGAAAATGGCGACATTTCCTTTCACATGCCTCCCATCAAGAAGTGAGGGCTACATCCTGCCCCTTGAGTCTGGGTGGGCTTGAGCTTGCTTGTGACACGTAGAATATGGTGGAAATTATTCCACATGACTTTTGGGGCTCAGTTAGGAAAGGCAATGCAGTGTCTGCCTTGATTGTCGGGACACCCGTTGGAGAGCTCTCAGCCGCCATGCTGTGAGGAAGCCCAGAGCACAGAGAGGCCACACGGAGGTGCACCAGTGACAGACCCTGCTGAGCTCCTGGTGGACAGCTGGCATCAACCACCAGACAGGTGAGAGGAGATGCCTCCAGAAAATCCCAGCCCCCGGCCATCCAGTCACCCCAGCTGTCGAGTTTTTGCAGCTGACGTCCCAATTGTGGAACAGAGTTCAGTCAGTCCCTCCGAGCTCTGTCTGAATTCCTGACCCACAGAGCTTATGAGCGTAATAAAAGGGTGGCTGTAAGTCATTGGTTTTGGGGAGTAATTCATTAAGCAGTCACGCTAACCAGAACGTTGTCATATGTTTCTCTCCACTTGTTTCTGTAAAACGTTTTTGTTGTTGCTCTCCTGGGGCTTGTCACCTGCGCCCTCTGGGGTAGGCCCGGCCAGGAGCCCTGTGGGTCTGGCTCCGTCTGGGGAGAGAACGCTCCAAAGGCAGAGGCAGCCTGGGGGCTCCTGCTCTGCAGCCCCTGTGGTGGCCACGGGACGGCCTGGTGGTCTTTGGCCCGGAGGGGGACTGGCCTCTGCAGAGGCCCCGGGGCTCCAGGCTCAGTGGGAAGTTGGCCGGCTCTCCTACTCCTGGGCTGCTCTCACCTGTCTGCGGAGACCCTGGAGCTCGTGGCGGGTGTCCACCCGCGCCTTCTCCACCTCCCGCAGGCTGGCCCGAAGCTCGCCCGCCTCCTTCTGGGCCACGGCGTGGGCCTCCTCCAGGACCAGCACCTTCTGCTCGTTCTCCTCCTTGGACCGCTTAAAACTGTGGAGGTGCCAGGGCTGAGGCCAGGGAAACGCCCCAGGCCAGCACCTCCCTGGGGGTGACCCTCACACGTGCCCAGCAAAGCCCCACTGGCTCCAGTGAGACACCCTGGTCTTGGCTCTCCCCATGTCCAGAACCCCAGCCTCCATAGGGCCCCTCTCGCCTTCGGGGTGCATCTCCACCTAGGGCCCAGGGCCCCACCAATCTGGCCCCCATCCATGTCAGCCTCACTGTCCCTCTCACAGGGCAGTCTTCCTGGGGACCCAGCCACACCGCTGGCTTCCCTCTGCTCCCCCAGTCTCTGTGGGGACAGGTCTGTCTGCATCCCCAGCCATGCCGTGTGAGGGCCAGCACCCTGGGGCCCCATGGAGATGCAGTTGGAGGGGACGCCGAGGTCTGCCCCCCCGGCCGGTTCAGCAGGACCAGCCGGCACCCCTCTGCTGTGCTATTCTCTCTGGCTGTCTGAGAGGCAGCCCCTACCTGGCCTTCTCCTGTTCGGCTGTGCGGACGGCAGCCCACAGCTTGGTGTTGGACAGCTGCAGCACATCCTTCTCATGGGCCTCATCACCCAGCGCCCGGCGGGCCTCCAGGGCCTCCCTGCGCAGCCCCTCGCGGCTCTCCTCGATGCCTTGCAGCTCCTGGCGCAGTGTGACCAGCCCTTCCTGGGCCACATCCAGCTGCACCCGCAGCCGCTCGGCCTGGGGGGGCGGAGCGTGTGGCTGAGGTGCCAGCTTGGGGAGGTGGAAGCAGGGGACCGGGTACTGGGGCTTCTGTCCTGGGTACGGCCCCAGGCTGCCCACAGCCTCTGGGCTCCCGTCCGGCAGGCACCTGGTGTCCCACAGGGACACCCCCAAGTGCTCAAGGGAGAAGGCAGCCTCCCTGCTTTGCCGGCCCCCGCAGCACCGCATCTCCCCACCCCCGCTGAGGACCCGGGCAGACGCCACCCTGACCCATCCTGGCCTTGGTCCTGCCCCTCTCCCTCCCTGGACACTGGGCTGGCCAGCCGGGAGGGCCTGCTGCATGGCCCTGTCCACGTGTCTGCACTGTCCCCACCCTGCTCCAGCTCACCACTGCCCAACAGCCCACCCCACCTGCTGACCCTGCTGCCCACCCATCTCCTCCAATAGTGGCAGGACATTGGGGGTCATGGCCCGTGCTGGTGTGGGGGCAGGCAGCAGCAGCCTGGGGTCCTGTGACAAGATGGCTCTGGCCCTGCGCCCCTAATGGCCCTGCCTGGGGCCTCACTCCCCTGTCAGTGTGGGAGGCGGTCGGGGAGGGTCTTCTGTACACCAGGCCCCTGTAGGCCGGCGTCGAGCAGCCAGGGCAGGGGCTTTGGCAGTTGTAGGAGCCGGCTGGCATGCTCCACAGAAGGAAGGCCACGTGTCAGAGGGGCCCCCAAAGTCCTGAGGGGTGGGGAGCAGTGGCTGGGGGCCCAGGGTGGGGCAGCTTGGAGGCTATACCCCCACCCCAGCCTCGGTGCCCTCAGACCATCTCACAGCCATGGGCTGACCCAAGGGGGGACTTTATGAGTGGGCACTGTCCCGCCAAGCGTCCTCCGGCATTGTGTGGCCCGTGTGGGCTGAAGACGGTGATCTCTCTCCACCCCGGGGGCTTCTGGTGGGGGGGGCCTGCTGACACAACATAGGAGCTGAGCCTCCTCGGCTGAGAGTAGGGGTCTGGAGCCCTACCCAGGGTCCCCTGGACACGGGAGCCTCGAGGCTCTACAGAGCCCACGGCCCCCTAACAGGGGTGTCTAGGGGAGAGGGGAGGCTGGCAGGCCTCACACAGGGAACCGGGCAGCTGCTCCCCAGCAGCGGACCCCTGGTCTCCGGCCTCCCAGGCCCGCGCTCTGGCCCCGAAGCAGGGTGCGCTGAGAAGGCTCCGCTCCAGCTCTCAGGGTCGCCGGGAAGGAGGCAGAGGAGCCAGCAGAGTCTGCTGGTGTGGGGGAGCCCAGGAACCCGCAGGGACGGCGAGTTGCAGGTTTGCCAAGAGCAGCCCTCTCTCCTGGCCGCTTGCATGGGCTGCTGTCCAGACCCCCGGCTGGCTCCGACCCCGCCCACTGTTACTGTTGTTCTGTTTTGGGGCAGGGCCCGGCCCCTCTACTGCCCCCGCCCCCCACATGTGGGAGCACAGCCGTGCAAAGCGTTTTCCGCCGAGCTCAGCAGAAATGCGCCCAGAGGGTCAAGGACCAGAGAAAGGGCCAATCCATCATAAAGTAAACTGTTTTCATTTCCCAGGGCAGGGGAGATGAAAACAATCAAAACAAACTCGGGGGAAGCGCCCAGCTCGCCTCCCCCACGCCCCCACCTACCCCCTCCCTTGGCCTCGTGAGAACAACCATCCCTTTTACAGGAATTTTACAGCCAAATCGCTTAATGTGATTATAAGAATTATTTCTTTACTAGAAATTGTATAAACAGCCTCTTTTGAAATCTGCGGGGGGGAGCTCACGTGCTCTGCACAGAGGGCAGAGGGGAGAGCGGAGGCTAGCGTGGGCATCCCAACCTGGGCACGTGTGTGCGTGTGCGTGTAAGTACACAGGGTGCGTGTGCTTGGTGCGTATACATGTGTATCGTGCATATGCGCGGTGTGCATGTATCTGTGTGTGCACGTGTGTATGCGTGCACCGGTATCTGCTCACACGCGTAAAAGATGTGCACGCATGGGACTGCACTAGAGTTGCATTGTGCGTGTCTTACGTGCTTGGTGTGCCTACATGCGTGTGCATGTGTGTACACGTGCGGGGGGCCCATACGTGTTTACGTAGGTGCATGTTGCGTGTGCACACGAGTGCAGGGGTGTGTGCATATATTTGTGCATGTGTGCTGCAATGGGTGCATGCAGTGTATGTATATGTGTACATGTCCGTGCGTCTGCTTACACGAGTACATGTGTGTGCGTGTGCATAGTGCCCATGTGTGTTTAACATGCGTGCTGTGTATGCACACGAGTGCACGGAGTGTGCGTGCACATGTGCAGTAATGGCTGTTTGGCGTAGGCATGCATCTGTGTGTATGCATATGTGCACATGTCCATATGTCCATTCACACATACATGTGTGTGCACGTGAGTGTGTGTGGGATTGCATTGTGCATGTGTGTGTGGGGTGTGCATATGTGTACATGTGTGTGATGCCCATGCGTTTACATGTGTACAGACTGTGTGCACAGCCATGTACATACCGTGGGCATGCTGTGCGTGCGTGTGTGTACATGTGCACATGGGCGTGTATCTCTGTGCACACGAGCACGTGGCGTCCGTGTGTGTGGTGTGTGTATGTGAGTGCAGAGGGGTGTGCATATGTGTGTGGTGTTCATGGGTGGGTTTACATGTGTGTGCATACGCATGTAGAGCTCTGGCAGGGCTGCAAGAGGCCTGAAGCTCCCCCAGTTTAAAGGCTGTGAAAATGTTATGGTTCCATGATGACCCTGGGCCAGCCTGGCGCCTGGGAGGGTTCTTCCGAGCTGCCTCTTGCTGTGATGCGCGCACACACACACGCACGTACACACACACACGTACGCACACATACACATACACACACAGCTGCCTTTTCGGCCTCTGGGCCTCTGCCTGCCTCTCCATACCCTTTCTGGGGGCTCCCCTCTCTCCTTTCAGGGCTGCTTCTCCCAGAACCTGGAACTTCTCACGAGGCCCCTGCTGTCCTCCTCAGCGCCCCCCCACCCCACCCCCAGTGTTAAAATCTCTCCTTTACTTCCCCGTGTGGTCGTTGACCAGCCGGCTTTGAAATCCGTTGAAAGGGGACCTTTCTCTTTTAGGGCCAAAGTAAACAGCCTGTCATGTTAAATCACACTCTCTTCCTCCCGGTCCCGCTCTCCCGGCCTGCCCTCCAGAGGGTGCTTTGGAGGGGGCAAGCCCCGCTCCTCACCCGCTGCTGGCAGTGGGGCTACTCCCCCCAGGCCTGGAGCCCGGCGGCCACTCGAACTGGCGCCAGGTCAGCGCCCGCCTGCTAGCCTTGGCACGCAGCCCAGGGCCCTAGTGCTAGGGGCCGCCGTGTCCCCCAGCCCCACCTGGGCTCCGGGCCGCCCCCTCCCCAGTCCCTAGCCTTGAAGCCTTAGAATCTGGCCCAAACCCCTGGGCCCACTGCCCCCCCAAGTCCTGTCAAACCGGCCTCAGAAAAACACTCCTCAGATCTGCCTGCCTGCTGAGCCCCCTCAGCCCTGCCTGGGCCTCTGCTCCCCTGCACCAGACTGTCCCCAGAATTTTGTCATGTGGCTCCTGGGTGCTCCCGTGTCAACCAAGGGCCTCAGAAAACCCCAGCAACACCCTCCACTTCCTCTGCTGCCCCTCTCCCCGAGGAACCCCGAAATCCATCCTCACCCCACCCCAACGTGCAATCCCACAGAGTCCTGGACTCATGCTGCCAGGGGGCCAGAGCCTGGGGGGCACCAGCCTCTCCAAGGAGTTCTCGCGGCTCTGGGGGTGGGGGCCAGGCGGAGGGGCTCCCCCTGGGCTGAGGGCCGGACTCCCAGAAGGCGTTGCTGAACAAGGACGCCCCCCTCAGCCAGCCTCTCTGACTGCCGACCTTCTCCCCTGGACTGAATGCCCACTGCGCCTTCCCCGTGCGGTTGAGGCTGGCCTGCCACGTCCCTGACACCTGGCCACCTGGCCTCTCTCCGATCGGGGCCTTCAGAGAGAGCCGGCAACCCGAGATGGGGGTCCAGGGACGGAGTGGGCTAGTGTTGCTGGACGAAGACACTTGTGCAGAATTCAGGGGGCGAGGAGCCGCGTCCCGGGACCCAGGCCCCCTGTTAAAGCCCCGCAATTGTCCACGGGCATCTTTCCTCTGGAACTCAGCCAGGTCCCTGAGGCACGTCCCGTTTCTCCCCTGAAGCCAATCCATGACTTCAGAAGACTTGGGGAACGCACCTTTCTTCTTACTCAAAAATGAAAGTCTCCTTCTCCCTACCTGACGGCGGCAGCGGGCGGCGTTTTGTCAGCTGAGAGAGCACGGCGGTCTAGGGTCGGGGCACCAGTGAGAGGGATACAGGCCTGTCCCCCGCCTCGGGACCGTGGACTCCTGGGCCTCCCGGTGCCCCCCTACCCTCCTGCCACACAGCCACACTCACCTCTCTCCCCGTGCTGCTCCGCTCTGCAGCCACCTCCCGGAGGATGGCGCTCAGAGCTGCCGACTCCTTCTGGTGGGTAGAGATGGCATCTGCAAACTGGGCCTGTAGGACCCTCAGCTCCTCGGTCAGCATGGATATGGTGGCCTGGGGGAGACCATGCATCAGGGGCCGGCCCAGAGACTCCCACTGGGGTCTGCTGGGCCTCGCTGGCAGCCACACCCTGTCCTGGGAGCAGGCAGGCAGCTTATTCAGGTGACACCAAGTGGGGCAGCAGCCGAGCCTGGTCTGGGGGCTGGAGGTCAGGGCTCTTGTGCGGATCACTGCTTACGATACCAGGCCAGTCCCGAGGGATCAGGGATATAGGGTGAGGAGCACAGCCCTGAGGGGTCAGGGATATAGGGTGAGGAGCACAGCCTCGAGAGGTCAAGGATATAGGGGGAGGAGCACAGCCTCGAGAGGTCAGGGATATAGGGGGA